CTTCTGCCCTTCTTACTTCCCAAAGATGCTACAGGAAGAACTCATTCAACAGGTATTTATCAAGTGCCTACTATGAGTCAGACAGGTACAGCTATGCTTTGGAATATGTAACAGAGAGTATGAATATGACATAAATTCAATCAAAAATTCCCATAATAAATTTAATAAGTGTTACGCCTCCATGCTCCTGGGCTCTGTAGCCATCCTTTACAAGTAAGATTTCTATAAGCAAAAGGTGAAGTTTAAACTCTAATTGGGATCTGAAAGTCTTCAAGGTAGTCAAAATTCCTTGACCTTTCCAACTCCTGTGAGTGAGTGGGTATTTATATTCAAAGAAAGAGCCAGAGAGAGGAGAGACAAGTTCTGGGCTTTGAAAGTGACCACATATTCTGGGGTGCCAATACAAAAAAAAAATGTTTAGGTTTTTGCCAGTTAGGTCCCCACAAATTAGAATCAGAGTGCCAGATGCTTTAACAACTGGAGGTGCATTTTGCACCAAAAAGAAGTAAGAGCCAGGTCTTTAAAGACCCAACATCCAACCCAAGCACAGTAGTGGGAGTTCCAGAAGCCAAAGGGCAACCTGAACGAGTATGGTGTTTTGAGTCACCTGAAGTGTGGTGCTCACTCTGATGCCATGCTTTTCTTATCCATGGGGTTGGTCACTGGGAGCCACTGGAAGGAGATTAATAAACTATGACTATAAAAGTTACACCATGCCTGGGAAAATAAGTAAAAAATCTTGGCATCCTGGATAAGGCAAGGAAAGATGCTATTTAAAAATAACAGATAGTGATGATGGCAGGTACAGAGGGCATTTGGGAGAAGCTGAGTTTCCACTTAGCTTTTCTAAAATTGGTCTTGGTAACTTTACTAAAAATAAAATCACTAATGTGTCTCCAGCAGGTACAACTTAGTCTTTGGTCTGAATCATTTCTCAGAGCTCACCAGCAGCCTGTATCATGGGAAATACTTCTTGTCTGCTTGTGTGCCCACTTCTTGGTTTGAAAGGTTTCCTAACGCATTACTGGGACTTCTCTGAATGTTGTACTTGAACATATTCAATGACTAAGGTCATTCTGGGGGGTTATAGGTCATGAACTATTAACTGCTCCTTTCTTGGGTGGGGGTCTAGTTTGTTGGTCTGACACACCCCACTGAATTCTCTACATATTCTCCATATTTCCTTTCCCTTATCACATGCATTTTCAATTCCTGAAGAGATGTGCATGTATGACTATTCTCACTTTCTTGAGTCCTCATTTTTTTAATGGTTCCCTTAACTGCAATCAATTGATATTTGAGGGGGGGGGGTATAACTCATTCTCAGATGACATTGTCTTGAAATAAAGAAGTATCCTAAGAAGTGAACACTCTCATTTTCTGCTATGTAAACCATAAGGAAAACTTGTCTCAAAAGTCTATCATTTGATGTACAACACTGACGGGCATTGGATCAGCCATGTTTTAAGCTGGGTAGTCTTTTTCTACACTGGATACTCTGAGGACAGTATTCCTCAGAGCACAGATGCTACTTGAAAAGAAGAAGAAAAAAGATTCCATGATCAACTCAGTCTGGGAAATCCTGGGTTAAATAAAACTGGAGAACTTATTTTCTTATATGACTTTATGGATCCTTTGATCTCTTAATTGCACCAAGACTTTCCAAGATTATGTTATAATATACAGCACTTTCCCCAAATTCTTTGCCCATTGATTCTTTGTTTCAGACCTTCCTCATGGGACTAATGTTCTAAAAGTTACTTTGGGAAAGGCTAGTCTAGACTTACAACCCTTGGATTCAGTTTCTTCCAAGGAGAAAGCAAAATCATAGTAAAAGAGAGAGGGTCAGAGAAGAAGTGGAAAAAGAATCTAACTCTGCAAGTACCTGGCAATACTTAAATTGAGTTTCCAAAGGAAAAAATGAGTTTCTCTGGGAAAGTAGCAAAGTAGCTGACTTTTTTTCTTCTTCATTTTCATGTGCTCTGATCTCTTAATAAAGCTCAAAAGTTAATGTCAACATTTGGAGCTCCTGTTCTACAAGGTATAGGTGGTCAATGCTCATGGCCACAGGAAAGTCAGGGCAAAAAGATTGGGAAGGGAATCAGGAATCCCTCAAAGAGACCTTTCCCCTTTAAGTCGGTTCATTTAATAGGGGTGCATCATGAACACTTATTTCAAATTCTCATCCAAATCAATCCATTACTCATCCTCTAATGTTGCTACATACTGATATAAAGCTGTCACTATCTCCTAAGAAGTAGCTACACTCCATACATGTTAGTATATATGCTTATACAATTATGTGTCGCTTTTGTAATCAACTGGGAAAGGCTTCCCAGCCTTTCAATGACTGTCACCGACTGGGACGTAGATTTACAACAATGCACAAATTGATACATGAGTTGCCGAACGTGAATCTCCATATCCCATACGGGAGGATGCATCATTGTCCAAGAGCAGGAATACCTGGTCAGAAAGGTTAACCAGCCCAGGGAGGTCTCGCCAGCTCCATCTCTGGAGTCAGCCTCCTCCTGTAAGGGCTCCCAACTTGAGTCTCCTCCTCTGACGGAAAAAATACACCACGGGAGTATTACGGCCTTGCTGACTCCAATTTAAAGTCACAAAGGCTACCCTTCTGATGAATGATATTTCACTTTCACAGTGAACCCCATTGCAGTTCCTAAGTCATGGGCCCCCTAATTAAGTTAAAACTACCTGTATCTGTCTTGTTCAGACTGACATTATCCTGAACAGAAATGAACGAGACATCAGATTTTTGCTCTAAACCAGACAGCAAACTCCTTGAATATAAGGATATTGAATATAAGGATATAATGAATATTATCCATTGTTCCCTTACCCAAGCCCAGCAAAGTGACCATCATGGGATAGGTGCTCCAAGCCTCGGATGAATGAGCAAAGGACCCCCAGCTCTTGAGGGCTTCCTCCTCTCAGTGGATTTTTCCTCTGAGGAAGAGGATGACACTCTCTGCCTCTATGTTAATGGGCTGCTTACAGTACTTACTGAGATGGAGAATGTGAAAGTGGAAGGTCATCAGTATCTTCCTAATAATTGGCAATGTACAAGAGGTCCTAACCATGTATGTTAGCCAGATATTTCTCAAGGAATGCTAACTCTTCTGTGGAGGGCACCACACCTGAGCAATTTGATCTCTGTCTTATAAGAACTGCTAGTGTCTGTTGACAAACAGAAGTCAATCAAACAGGCAAGTACTCTAGTTTAAAGATTAAAGCACTCTAGAAAAGTATCTGGAGGCTATCTTTTATAAAAAATAAAAATATAGCATTCACATGGCAGATAAACTTGAATTGGTACTGTGTTTCTAGCACGACACATTAGCGTGTGTGTGTCAGTGATAAAACAAGACTGGTTTCTCAGCAGATGCTTGTGTGACCCACTCCCCCAGTTTGGGTCCAAATCCTTTTTTCCATTGCTATAGTGTTCTCTGTTCCTGTTTCTCTGGGGGAAAGTCCAGGGTGGTCTCTAGTACCAATAAAACCTTACACTCATTTCCCAAGGCAGAAGGTCAAGGAGCAAAGGGCAGGGATCAAGAATGAAAATGAACTAGCAGGATGCCAGGTACACTGGTGTAGGTGAATGTGGGAAAGTGATGATGGTTGTGAGGGATGATAACTGACTAAATAAAACCAAATCAAACCAAAACCAGACATTCAAGATGATGACATAAAATCAATCTCACTTTTCATTTTGCTGATCTCCAAACTGAGAACCCGTTTTGAGAGTTAATGACATAAACCGGTGCGTTTCTGCACTTAGCTTCACAAACTAAGATGTCCTGTGTGAACATCCTTTCCAGGGTTGAGGTCTCTGAGGGCAAATGTTTCCCAGGACAAGGACAGGGCCAAGTTGGGGGTGAGGATCGCTCTGACTGGAGCTACCTTACTGCACAGCTCCAGCGGGTATGTCTTATCTTGTGAACTATATAAATAGCACCCTCTGGAATTGTACCACTTACTAGTAAAATTCTTGGGAGACTTGGAATCAACTTCTCCTATAGGATGCTAGCAACATGAGGTAAAAAGGAAGCAGCGTTATCTGAAAAAATTTTAGGAGTTCAATAAGCACCCCTTCCTCTAATAAATAGTGAAACCCCTCCTCACACAGGTAATTAAAATAATCTCATGCTTCACTATTTTGAAATATATAACAAAGACATTCAGATGATTTCATTCCATTACCTATAACCACCTCTCTTGAAATTTATTGTATAAATTACTCAACTTTTTTAAAAGGTCACAGAATGATAAAAGAGGAAACACTATTGACTATGATATCCTGCTAATTTACATTTAATTTCATAATTTCCATAAAATTTACCTTCAAGAATTTTAGTGCTAAACATGTAAACAGTTTTTGCATTTGGCGAGTGAAGGTGAATATCACTGAAAACTGCCGGAGAACTGTGTTTTTGTCAATCCATCTCTTCACTTCTTTACATAGGTAAGCGAGAAAATAAGAGTCCAAATCAAATAAACCAGACTCCTTGACTTCACTGGCTAAAATGCAAGCAAAACTGATCTCTTTTCATGTAGTTTTACCCCACTTTTAATTTGCATCACTAAGGGATTTTCTAAGACAGTGCTCAGCAAACTCACAGCTTCTCTGATTGCCAAGCTCATGGAAACAAAGTGCTTTCTCTAAAAACTCTGAAAACAACATTCCAAAGTAACCCACCATTAGATACTGTGCCAGCAATAGACTACATATCTATGAAAAAGAAAGGAGAGGAGGAAAGAAAATGCATAACATAAACAAGAACAGACAAACCCTTAAAGAGGAAGGAGAAAGGAAAACATTTAGATTCCTTGAGTGATGGAAATAAATACCAAAGCTATTAGTTTCAGTTCAAAGAACATATCACTTTATGCTGTTTATTATTTCTTGAGGATTATTTATTTTATCTTAAAATATCCAAAGGGGGAAAGGGGTCGGAGAGGTAAGCAGCGGTGGAGCTGACCTGGTCGGGAGAAGGCCTGTGATTGGAGTGCTGCGACCTCCCGGGAGAGCGGTGGTGGTGGTGGTGGTGGTGGTGGTGGCGGTGGTCCTCCTCATAGCTGTCCGCCAGCAGCTTCATCCTGTTCTGGGTCTGCAGGGAACACAAACCAGGGGAGAGTCCATCAGGAACTAGAAGGCCAGCCAGAGGAGGCCAGGGCGTCCTCACAACACCTACAGGGCTCCCGTCATTCTTTTTTCAGCAACAGAGAGTTTCACTTTTAGTGCAGTGGAAACCTAACAAAGAATGCACCATTCCATTCGCTTTGGTGACAGAGGTTCTGTTACATCACTGAATCCACTGTGTTGTCGGACAGACATTCATAGACATAAGTGTACTTCCCCCACGTGATTTAAAAGGCAATAAATGGACACATTCTAAAGTGCTTTGTGTTATCAAGCGATCACACAGATCCATGGTAAACTTACTACCAACCATCACATCCTACACTCTAGAGCATGCAAGAGAAGGAAGCCCTGGATGAAAAGATGGGAAAGACCTCGATGGAAAGAACTACAGACGACAGTCGTCCTGCAAGACAGGGCAGAGAAACCCACTAAAAGGCTGCCAACCGCAGAAACACTGATGGGGCTGGGCTGTCACTAGGATGAGTTCTAGGGCAATGGCTCTTTATGGACACTTTAACGAATACCGTTCCTTAGGGAAATGAACGCAAGGAAAGCAAAGCTGACGGAGGAGAGTTAACTACGCTAATTTTACTCCTTGCTATGTTTGTCACATGAGGCAACTAAGTGTCAGAGTTTAACTCCAAGGGCTACAGAACTATATGGTTTTATTATGCAGGGCAAGAAAGAGACCAATGATCAATTGAGCTAACAAGGGCCACAGAATCCACAAAACTGCCTGAAGTCCACAGAGAAAGGCAGATAAAAATATCCAGCTCAGAAAGCTGGGAAATGCAGAGACTCCAAGTGTGGGCTTGGAGATAAGGCCTTCTGGGTTCAACCACCTCTTCATTGGCTACATGGTCTTTTGAGAGTTAACTATTTCTATGCCCCAATTTCCTCAGCTTTCAAATGGGAGTAATAGAACCCCTTCCCTGGGGTTGTTGTGAGGAAAACGTATTGTGAAGAGAGTGGATTTCAAGTCAGTCCAGGATCTGGTACATAATGGGCTTGAAATAAAAGTCATGCTATTACTATTGTCATTGTTTAATTGTCATTGTTTACTGGAAGACACTTCTCCCTCTGAATACATGTTGTTTCTTCTGTCTGTGACAGCTGCCCCAGCCACCTTTCGCTGCCTCTAGTTTCTGTGTCAGGCTAATGCACAGCCTTTTCCTGACCCCACCCTTGAGATGAGGTGACATGTACCTCCTGCTTACCACACCTCTCTAACCACGGATTCGTCGTCCATTTGTCAGTAAACTTGAGGCTGCTTCTTTCATCAATCTCTCTCCAGCATCTAACACAGGGCCAAGTAGATACAGATAACATTATACATGTTGCTATAACAAGTGACTCAAAGAAAGAAGAGGCCATCATTTTGAGGGCCACTGTCATTCTAGAGGTGAGCAACCCAACTGTCTTCAGCCAGGGAAGGTCACTAAGAATTGAGGACACCTCATGAGTTGCCAATAACAACCCCACTGGTGGCTCATGACAATGAGCCATCAACACTTTAAGAGAGCTGAAAGTCAGAGTCTGGCAGAGCACCCAGACAGTTGGAATTTTAGTATGTAACATAAACAATACTCGGATAACAATTCTAAACCTGGCAGTCTATTCTTGTAGTGTTCTTCATGTATGATCTAATTTATCCTCAAAACTTTCCTGGGGGGAATTATTACTATCCTCATTTATAGCTGGAAAATCAGGCATAGATTTTCAGTCTCTATCTTGACATAGAAAATGGAGATATTCTGGACCTTCCAATTCTCAATCTTGAGGCCTTTCTCTTTGTCATGTTGCTAGCAAAAAAAGGCAAACAACTGAACAGATAGAAATAGCTTTCTCATAAATGCTTTGGTTCTGTTAAGTTTTGGAAATTGACTTCACATTCCAATTCTGTAGGACAGAGGATATCTCATGATTTACCCACTCCAGTTTTTAAAATGTGTACAATATTTGAAAGGCCCCAGAGTGGACATTTAAAAAAAAAAAAAAAAGCACATATATGGATAAAGACAATAAAAATAGAGGGAAAGAGCCACCTAAAAAAAAAAAAAAAAAAATCCCAGGCAACCTCTGGCAGCTGATAGCATTTCCAGCCTTCACGTGTCCACTTAAAGTGTCAGAAGACCCAATGGACACGTTATATGTTGTGAGAAAGAGCAGCTCAGTAGAGCTGTTGCCGACCAAATGCTGAGATTCCCCTACCGGCCTGTACTCGTGCATGAGATTGTGAAATGCCGTGTTCACACCTAAAATTCCAGTATCGTCAGGAGCCTGCAGTTTTGAACTCACGATCTAATAAATCTGGAATTGTTTCTTCTAAAAGAATTCCAAAAGTCTGAAGGGAGTTGTAAGATCTGCTATGGTCAAGAAGAAAGGGACTCACACAAGAATGAGTGATGAAGCCTAAATGAACAAATAATAACCCTGCTATTGTAAACATCATAATGTCCTTATCCTTTGGGGAAGCTCCTGTGATTTTATGAGATTATTTTCTTACCAGTGACAAGCTTAAAGTTCCCTACCTTTGAACTGTATCCCATAAAAGAATGTACAAGCTAAACAAGATGCTATATGCGGTCCTAAATGTGTCTGCTGAAATGAGGTGTTGGAGAATAGGCATGTCATGGGATAAAGACTGTAAATGAATGATGTCATCTTTCCAATTTGGTGCTGAAATATAAATAAACCACGTTGTTCATGTGAATACCAGATCTGGGGGAAATGTACACACAGCAATTGTGAGCGGAAGAGGCTTCTTTTGATTAGTCTGGGCTGCAAGAGAAGAGTGTGAAATGGAGATGAAAAATGAGAGTTTAGCCTGATACTTTAGACCATTTTTATTTATCTAGCTTGTAGCATATCCCCTAAACTGTGACCGATTGCTTACAGGCTGGTTTCTAGTTTTCCCTTCCGTAAAAATGTTTGACTGATTCTGCTCACTTAATTATCAAATTAGAAATGGAGCTCTTAATTTTTTTTCAATCTACACTACCTATCCTTATCTCCACTCAATTATATTGGTTTCCTAACATGCCAGGCATGGTCTATACGGATAGGAAGCTATGAATAACACTCCCTAAAGTGGATGGAAGCAAAATTGCAGAAAAATTTTAAGGATTGGAACAAGGATAGTACTTGCTCAAATAATTTCAAACATGTTCACTAGGTGATTCCATGTGTAATGGTTCATATCTCTGTAGCCATCAGATATACAACATGCCCACCACAAAGCCTTAGACAGCACATCTTCTGGACAATCAAAAGTGAAATCCCAGGAAAGCTAATACAGAGTTGGAGCGAGATAGCTTTCCATGGCACTGCTCTTGGGAACTTATGGCCTCATTTAGTAATTCACGAAAGCCCGTTTTTATTTCCTTTTCAGAGTTTACCAAACTGCTGACCTGACACGTTCACCTTTGGCTGTGTTATATTCGTTTTATTATATTATGTCATGACTGCTGAGACAAATCTAATCAGATTTCATTTTCTACTTCCTCTCTCTTCCAGACACCACCTTATTTCTCTGGGGCAATAGGCTCCTAACAGCTTTCCTGCTGCACTCTTGCCTCCGGTCGAACATGATCTGTAGTCAGAGTGACATCAGACCTCTGTTACTACCTGGCTTCAGATTCCCAGAGACTCCACACTGTCCCCAGGAAAGAGCCCCATCTCCTGCAGAGCTTTAAACTCGTGTGAGGTGACTGCTCTTCCCCTCCCAGAACCCCAGCGTCCCCTCCCCGGCCCTGCAGCATGCTGTCCTCTGCCCCGTCGTGCCTTTTATTCTCTTCTTCTGCCGCGGCTATACCCATTAGCTCTTCTAGTCTTAGCTTCGACATGATCACCTCCAGACCACCTTCCTTAAGTCCACCTCGGGAGGGCTTGAGTGCCCTTCTACTGCCTTCCCCAGAATTCTACTGCTTCCATCACAGCACTTATCTCTATGAATGGTAAATAACTGCATTCTTTCTTGGCTTTCTCTGCCACTAGGTTGAAATTCTCTTGAGGGAAAGTGCTAGGTGCGAATTACCCTTGGATTCATCACCTAGCACAGTCTGATATATAATAAGTAAATTATGTTGAATAAATGTGACAAGTGTATGAAGGAATGAATGGAAAGGATACTGGCTATTTGGAAAAGATAAAAAGAAAAAATACAGAATTAGCATCTATGATGAATCAGTTGAATATGTAACTCTCATGTGACAGTTTAACCTTCCCCATCATGCCTTTGTTTTCGGTTGTTATTATTCTTGGACGTGAGAGAGCAGGATAAACGTATAGTTCTGGAACTGTTACAAAAGTCAAGTTGTTCTTGTTTGAGAAATATTTTGTTCTTGAATAAAATGGACCTACTGAAATACTTCATGTCTTTGGGTAGTTACATCATTAAGAATAAAAAGAGTGGGGGTGTCATGAGGTTCGTTTCCTTACTATATTCTAGCCTTTGGAAGAGCAGGAATCTTTAAATACTTCCATTAGCACCAAAAGTCAACCATGGAAAATTGAAACTGTATCTATTAACTAAGGTCCTTGATGAACACCATCTGTGAAAAGGTGCCATAGACTCCACCACTCTTGACATTTCTGAAGAGTTTATCCAAGGAGCTCTTGAAACAAAATGAAAATCCTTGATTGACTAGTAATAGACTCAATAGCTTAATAGCAATATGTAGCTATAAAAGTGTAATATTAAAACTGCCTTTAAAAATATTTTAGCAAGGTGGCAATAACGAACTATGCTTTGATCAGTCATCTGGATCAACTTAACAATAAAACCTTCATGAATATGGTTTAAATAAGAAAAAAATATATAACAAATTTGTTGCTATGGGATTTGGAGATAATACCATACTAGCAATTATACTTTCTCCTCTCAGGTTTTCTTTTCTGCCTCTTTCCTGCCAGGGAAATACAAAATAGCCCAGAACTCTTCAATAGGCCTTCTTTCTGTGAAAT